ACGAGGAAATCGCTCTGTTGTTAAATCAAACTCCAACTCTGTCAGACTCTCCTCCAGAGAACAGAGTGCCGGCCCGAGCCCCAGGTCCCCAGTCCCCAGGCCTCCGGAGGCCCCGAGAAAGGCCGAGGGCTTGGCATCCGCGGGCCTGGGCACAGAGCCTCTGCCCCGTCACCTGTGGAATCGCAGAGCGCCCCGTGGGGCGGAGTCGCCCCGGGGACTGGAGGAGGGGCCTCGGCCTGGCAGGGTGACCCCGCCCCCACAGGTGCTGCCCCTCAGCACTCTGGGCCCACCTGTGTGGGTGACGTGCCTCCCGCCCTTATCTGCGCATCTGTGAAACAGGACCGACTCGGCTCACCGTGACGGGCGGGGCGGGGGGAACGTCGGGGGGACCCTTGGGGGACCCGGCGTTTGGCGGGCCACCCACTGACGTCCCCCTGCTGCCTGCTTTCATTCCCCTCCCTTTTCTTCTCCCTTTTCTCTAGTTCAGGAGCTTCTGACCTCCGCTTTGGACAAACAGATGGTCTGTTTTCTCTTGTTTCGTGTGGCCGGTAGCACATTTAAAAACGTTTAGACACCAGTTAGATCCCCCACTGAAAAAAATCCACATTTCCAGCTTCTCTTTTGAAATTGGGAAAGCAGGGTCCCCCTGGCCGCAGCCCGGGTTGCTGTGGCCCCCCAGCCAGCCACCGCCTGCCCGCACACCTGCTCCGCCTCGGCGATGGGGGGCGTGGCTTGCGTATGAGACCACGTGACCGGCAGGGGCGCTCGGACTGCAAAGCGCTGGTGTCAGTGCAAAACTGTTATTCATTATTTGTTGTCACGCTGAGGCATAGGACATGTTGAGTGTTGATCGGTTGCAATCAAAACACTGGCAGAAGCCAGGAGGATTACTGGGAGACAGGCTGGAACGTCAGTGCGTGGGACCGAGTCTCGGCTGGGTGCAGACACCGGGGCGGAGCAATGTCCCCTGCCTCAGACATTCTATTCTGTGGGCGAGCTTAGCCTCATGGTGCTGCAATGACATCATGGCTCCGGACGTCACACTCTAGGTCCCTTCGAGTCTGGCGTGAAAGCAGTAGGCTCATCGGTTCAGGGCTTGGCTGGCAACCCAGTCGGAGCCGGCGCGGAGCATCCGCCCCTCTTAGGGTGGACGGAGACCTGCACAGAAGCCGGAGCCCGTGTGGCACCCTGGGAAGTCAGGCCTGTTACATCGTGACACAGGTGACCCGACCTGGGGCAGCCCTGACACCTGGTGTCCGTTTCAGATGATAGAAAGAATGTGGAAACGCTTTGTAAGCCATAAACCGTAGTTTTCTGTAACCTCGTAAGGACCTGCGCTGCCCACGCCCCTCTCCCCGTCCCCCGTGGGCCCGAGGCTCATCTGCTGTTCCGGGTTTTGCAGATGCTGGGTCTTAATAATCGTGCAGAGCTCCTCGGGGGACATGAGCAGGGGCCACTGCCAGGGGAGGCTGAGCTGGGGGCATGTCGCAGCTGAAGTGGGGAGCCAGCCAGGAAGCATGGGGGCCGAGGGCAGCACCGCCCCTTCCCAAAGCCGCCCCGAGTCATTCTTTAATGGAATCTGTGCCTGTTGAATTCCTACCAGCATGAAACCTTGTATGTCCTTTATAAATATTTCATTCTCTTCCAGCAGCAAATTTCCAGATACCCGAATGCCTGCGTGGCCATCTCCTGCCCTGGGCAGGCAGTCTGTCCCTGGCCCTGGGCAGTTGTGGGCTGAAGGATACAGTCATGATCACCCACACCTGGCACCTGGCCTTGGCATCCGCTTCTGCTCAGGGAACAGCCACGCCTCCCCGGGAGACAGGGATTGCAGTGAACTTGACAGAGTCAGGACTCAGATGTGGGCAGTCTCGTCACTCCAGTGCAGCGTCCTGGAGTGGGACCTCAAAGCCGGGTGGATTGCTTCTGGCAGAGGCATCGGGGTGGGCTTCTGGGAGAGGCACACCACAGCCAGGAGGCCTTACAAACTGTGAAGTGCTGTGTGAGTCTGCAGCCATTTATGGCCAGCTGTTGATGGGAGTGGATTCCCAGGGAGCAGGAAGGAGCCACACACCGTTCTCAAACACCGGAGTGCCAGGAGTCCGGCGGTCATACGGCCCAGCGGCCTCATTCACTTCTCATAGTGGACGCTCGTGCCGTCTTTAATGAAGCGCTGAGCCGGCCTGGGAAACTTCTGCTGGCGCTGGGAAGTCTCACAGGAGTCCTGCGAGCCACAGCTGGCTCTTCGGGGAGCCCCAGAGCCGATAGAAGTGATTAGTTTTATTACCCTCCTTCTCTGGAGCCTATTCATTTTGTTTTATTTCGTTAGCCAGCTGCAGCCAAGAGAGGCGGGCCCCTTCCCTGCACAGCCTCTCCAGGACAGAGCAAAGGGACCCACTGAGTGCTCGAAGGGGCTGTGAAGACCCACTGGCTGCTGCCGTCGCGGGCGGGCTCGGGTCGGCTCAGGACAGCCGGGGCCCCCAGGTGGGCCGAGAAGGCGGAAATCATTTGCACAGCTATGCGTCCCTTGTAATTCCGAGCACTTCCTCTGTGCCAGGCTCGGGGACACCCAGGGGTGAATCGGGAGTGGGCTCTGCCCTCCTCAGACCTCAAGTCTGGCCAGGGGACAGTGGAAGGAAGCTGAGGTGCGTCCCAGTCCGGTGCGTGTCGCAGGCATGCATGCGGTTACTCCACCCGACGTACATGTCCAGAGTTCCAAGTGTGCCCCATGTGTGTCCTGTGAAGCACCCACAGATGTATTCATGAAGTGGGGCCCAAACCTCAGAGACGGTCATCTCTCGTGCTGTCCCACGAACGCGTCTTGCTAAGGGTCGCCCTCACCGTAGCAGACTGGTGAGTTACTGCGAGTCATCGAAACGATCCCGTCTTTCATTCTGCAGTGGGACAGATGGCAGGGGAGTGACAATCCTGAGGCAGGGTGGTCGGGTGTGTGGCTGTCCCGGCCATAGGAAGGAGACCGCTTCTGGGGGTTCAGGGGAGGCCTGAGCCCCGGGGTACAGTTTTCGGCTCTGAAAATGCGGTATTGGTTCCCTCCAGTAAACATCTCACATTCGGGACTGTTGGCTAATGTCACCACCTTATTAACTTCCAACGATCTGCCATTCGACATCCACCTGGCTTTTGTATCGGCTGCACAGGTGAGCTGTCTTGAGGTGCAGCGGGATTTTCAACCCCGCGTTTTGTGTAAATGTAAACACTTGTTTATCGAGGCGTGTTTCACTCCTTCCCGAAGACCCGAGCTCCACTGGGATCAGTCCCCAGCGGGCAGCAGCACCTTTGTGAATAATCAGGCTGTGAGGGTCTGTTGGTTGGTAACACGTGTTTTAGGTTATTGTTTTTGTTTGTTTGTTTAATCTGAACATATATTTTGCCTTCATTCTTAAGGGATATGTTCTCTGGGTGGACGATTCCGAGCTGACAGCCTTTTTACGAGCCCTTTCAAGGTGCTGTCCCTCTGTTCCTGGCCTCCATCCCTGACGATTAGAACTGAGAGGTTCTCACTGTTGTAAACTCAAGTAGTTGCCCGCCCCCTGCCCCCCCAACCGCGATGCATTGTTTCTCTGGCTGCCTTCAAGATTCTCTCCTTGGGTATCAGCAGTTTGACTCTGAGGTGTGGTTTTCTTTGTATTTGTTCTGCTTGGGATTCACTCAGCTTCTTGAATCCGTAAGTGTGTCTTTTACCCAATTTGGTTAGTTTGGGTTATTGTTTCTTTATATTTTTGTCTTATTCTCTCTTTTCCTTCTAAGACGCCTTTTGGTATTGTCCTATAGCTCTCTGAGGCTTTATTTGCTTTTGATCTTTATGCCTCTCTGTCCTTCGGTTTGGATAATTTCTACCGACATCCTTTGCTCCCCCCTTCAGCTTTTCTGTTCCCTCATTCTTTGCTTCCTGGTCTGACTCTGACTGTCATGTCATCTCTCCTCTCTTGCAAGGGCTGTGGGGTTTCTGAGGGGTCAGAGCCCAGTGCCGGCTCAGCGGCAATGAGGGCCAGAGAGGATGAAGAGAAGGCCTCCTGGAGGCAAGCACGTGATATCATCTCTCTAGGGAGATGTGGCCTCTGGGGCAGGTGGGAAGCGGCACGTGTTCATGCCAAGGGAGAGACGGGCAGACTGAACATAAGCGATGGTAGAGGGGTAAGCTGGAGCAGTCGGCGTACCCGGGGGGCCTGGCACACTCGGGGTATGGTCTGTGGCTCCACCTGGGGCACGAATCCAGGACCTTCTGCGAGAAAAGCAGAGGTGCTAACCGCTACACTGCTTTCTCTTTTCTGACAAGTCTACATGCCACAAATTTATTCCTCTATGAGAAATATTTTGCGTGCTAAGTATTCATTCCTCTAGGTATGGGGGATACAGCAGTGAACAAAAATCTTGTCCTTGGGGTGTTTTTACTCCATCTGTGGTGATCTGTCTTGACTCAAACCCTCTACTTTTAAGCCTCATACTTGGTAGCTGAAAACTATCTGTTCAAATCCCAGCTCTTAAGAAATCAAATTACCCTGCTATTACGTAACTCACTTTTCTCGTCAGTGGTGTTGGACTCATTATACCTGTTTCGTAGGGTCATTATCAGGTTGGAAGGAGGCAACGGACGCCAAGGAGTCCGCGTAGAGCCTGGCATACAATGTTCAGCGTTCCTGGACTATTGACCCTTACCATTGGTCCATGGTGGGCATAGTTAATTCTGTCCTTTGGGATTGGGTACCTTTGCGGTTTTCTTAGTAGCAAATATGCTGTTTTTTTGTTTTGTTTTGTTTTTTTTAAAAAAACTTTGCGTTGCTCTAAGAAGAGCCATGAAACGCCCCCCGCCCCATCCCACCAACCTTCTTTTCCTACTGAAAGGCCCCAAATCACCACCAAACTGCAGAGGGCATTTCTTCACTGATTCTTCCCTGTTCTCCTGACCCCCCCATTTTTTTCCCCGCCCCCCACCCCGCGCAGGACCCGCCTCACGCCCTGTTCTCTTGCCCCTCCCCCAGGTTACGGGCACGCCGCCCCCGGCACCGACGCGGGCAAGGCCTTCTGCATGTTCTACGCGGTGCTGGGCATCCCGCTGACGCTGGTCATGTTCCAGAGCCTGGGCGAGCGCATGAATACCTTCGTGCGCTACCTGCTGAAGCGCATCAAGAAGTGCTGCGGCCTGCGCAACACCGAGGTGTCCATGGAGAACATGGTGACCGTGGGCTTCTTCTCATGCATGGGGACGCTGTGCATCGGGGCGGCCGCCTTCTCCCAGTGCGAGGAGTGGAGCTTCTTCCACGCCTACTACTACTGCTTCATCACGTTGACTACCATCGGGTTCGGGGACTACGTGGCCCTGCAGACCAAGGGCGCCCTGCAGAAGAAGCCGCTCTACGTGGCCTTTAGCTTTATGTACATCCTGGTGGGGCTCACGGTCATCGGGGCCTTCCTCAACCTGGTGGTCCTGAGGTTCTTGACCATGAACAGCGAGGACGAGCGGCGGGACGCCGAGGAGAGGGCGTCGCTGGCGGGGAACCGCAACAGCATGGTCATCCACATGGCCGAGGAGGCGCGGCGGGGCCGGCCGCGGCCCAAGGCGGACGCGGCCGACCTGCAGTCCGTGTGCTCCTGCACCTGCTACCGGCCGCAGGACCTCGGCGGCCGGCCCGCGGCGCACCAGAACGCCTTCGGCGCCAAGCTCGCCCCCCAGTACTTCCGCTCCATCTCCTACAAGATCGAGGAGATCTCACCAAGCACATTAAAAAACAGCCTCTTCCCCTCCCCCATCAGCTCCATTTCTCCCGGGTTACACAGCTTTACCGACCACCACAGGCTGATGCGACGTCGGAAGTCCATTTAGGGCGCGGGGGAGGGCAATGTGGACCGACGAGTCGTCTGTTGTGTTAAGTTCCAGTGGCCCGAGGCGTCTTTTCTTCCTTATTTATTTATTATCCTCCTTTACCGTTGTTATTGTTATTGTGATTGTCACCGTCATTACTTTCTCTCCTTCCGTGGTTTCGTTTCTTCCCTGCCTGGCCAGCGAGACAGAGCAGGCCAAAGGGGAAAGAAAGGCCCGTGCTCCTCTGAAACTCGCATCTGAGCATGAAGCATGGATTTCTTCCTCGCCAGCGACGAATGCCTTACATCTCTCCCCGGCCTGCCCCAGCTGGGGGGCGGGGGGCCTCCCCACGACAGGCGCGAGACCCAGACCGCAGACAGACCGAGAGGACGCCCGACCCAAAGCTGCGCACCTTCAGGCGCCCCCCACAGTGCTGCCTCCGACCCAAGTCCCCTCTTTCCTCTTCAAGGAGTGGGTGGCGGTGTGCACGTGTGTGTGTGTGTACACGTGCGTGGCGGAGCGTGTGTGTGTACACGTGCGTGGTAGAGCGTGTGTATGAGTGCACACACGAGTGTGCTGCCGTGCGTGTGTGTACCATGGGACAAAATGGGAAGTATCAGGTGTTCATTTTTCCATCACAGTTTTGTTAATAGCTTGCTTTCAGCTGCTTCCAAACCAAACAGGAAAACGAAACCCACAAGGTTTTTGATTTATCATCTAGCCCAATCTAGCATGTTCCATCAGCAGTCTTTATCCCAGATGTGTCATGACCATATTTTTAAAATGCTAGGTTCTAAATTATATTAACTTCTTTTTAGGGGGGTGGGTGGGCAAGGAGACACGGATCATTTTAGCTTGCCAGTTCAAAAAAAAATTTTTTAGAGCATGCACTTTGTTAAAACTGGTATGCATTATCGACACAAGAAAACAAAACTAGAAATGGAATAATCAAAAGCCAATGATGATGTTAATTTGTTGAAGACATTTTTTATTTGACCATTTCCGGTTCCAGCAATTTACCACGTGACTGGAAAGTGTCGGGTAAACTGGAAAATTGTTGGAACGTCAGAATGTCTATTTCGTTATTCTCCTCTTGTTTATCTGATGATGATGGTGATGACGGTGATTTGTGCAGCATCTACCTGCACGAATAATAAGAATTGCGGTTTGGGATGTGTGGATGACAATGGGTATTAGTAGGTAGGTGTGGTTTCTTTTCCTAATACAAAGACAGGGCATTCCTCATTTTTTAAAAAAACCCATCTATGTATTTCAAGAAAGATCGTCTCTAATTACATTTGATTTGTAAATAAGGGAAACTTCATGTCGGTCTCAGGAAGGGTTTAGGGGCAAGGAGCTGTGTCTTGGCCTGCTGGGAACTTGTCAATCTCAGGGGACACTTTTTTCTCAGTAGTGGAGAAATCCCTTCCCAAAAGGGAAAGCCTGCTAATCTCCTGGGAGACGCTTAGGCTACAGATGGTGCATTGGAGGCCCTCTCAGTGATGGGGGTAAAGGAAAGTCGGACCTCCAGATTCACAGAGGGGACTTACATTTCCCTTGTCACTGCCCCTACCATTTCTAAAACTCACCATCCTCCTGCTCCTTTTTCGTCAATGGGAAAAGTTCATGGCTCTCGGATGGAAATGGACTTTGGCCGTCCTGCTCGGAGGGAGCAGGGAGAGAACCAGTGGGGTCTTCCAGGATGGAGGGCTTGCTCTCCAGGGAAGGTAAACCTACAGGATTTCTTAAAGGAGACGGCACCGAGCACCGCCGGTCCCAAGCATCCGGGCCATGGGAGTGAAGCGCAGTGCTCAGGACTCGTCTGGAGAGGCATGCACTTTAAGGTCACACGCGTGTCGAGAACGGCCTCCTTCACGCAGGACACAGGGCCTGCGGGAGGAGTCTGGGAACCTCAGGTTCTCTAGGCCAAAGTGGACAGTTACCGGTCTCCAAGGTCTGTATTGATTCACTTCTCTTTAAGATTTTAAATTTGGGGGCTCTAAAGTCTGTGCAGAGAATAGAAACAGTTGCTCTTAAAAATGTTTTTCTTTCTCTTGGAAGAGATTGTTGGCTATAGGGGAATCATAGGTGCAGAAATGCTCATGCGCATTTGTAGAGCGCTTCATGCTTTGGAGGAGGCTGCTTGGCATAAGTGTAGGATTTCTCCCGAAAACCTAAGTTTTGCCCTCGTGTGTGTGTGTGTGTGTGTGTGTGTGTGTGTGTGTGTGTGAGTGATTATCTTTGATCTATAGAAAGAAACTGAGGCACGAAGAGGAGGGGCGATCTGCTCAGTGTCACAGAGCTGGTCTTTGACAGCGAGGGCATGGTCTCATTCTGGACTCGGAAAGGGTTTGAGGAGCTGATGCCACTACACCGTGGTATCCTGATTCGGTCCTCAGATGAAACCTGCTTCTCTCTCCCTACAGGTAAATGCATCAGTTTGAGGAACACCTGCCCAACTCGTCATGCAGGGCTGGCTTCCCCACGAAGATGTCTATGTAGAATGGTCATGCAGTGACCCGCTTCTGCTTGAATGCATCCAGTGCTCGGGAATTTAGACAACATTCCATATTCTTTATTTCCACAGAGTTGCCTCTTCTTTGTAGGATTAAGAATTGTAGGATGTAGTCTTTTTTTTTCTGTTCATATGATGGCCACTGACTTAAGTATCTGAAGCGACTTGGACTGTGTCTTGGTTCTATACCTCTCCTGTTCTCTTGCCCTTTGCTGCCAGTCCGGCCTCTGAAGGACAGTCACCGAGCCCTCTCTTCCGAGGTTAAACATCCTTGTTTATGCTCAGAGTGTCTGGGGGTGGGGGGAGGTGAACCTCGGTTTGCTTTCCTTGTGACATCCATTTTTCTTTTTTCAGATGGTCTGTCTGTTCCCTGGCATGGTCTCTGGCCAAGGAAAATTCTAGGCACATCGACGAGGTGCTTTCATGGAGGCCCAGAGCCAGGGGTCTCCGGGGCCCTTCTGCAGGGCAGTAACGTGAAACTGGGGCATCTCTATCCAGAGCTTGGCCACCTGAGACCTACTCACTCAGTCACCATCAGAATCCACAGAGCCAGAGGGAAGCTTAGTCAGAGTCACCTCACTATGTCCCCTCACTGTCAGAGGAGGAGAAAAGGTGCACACGCATCTAAGGTCACTCGGCCGGAGTCCGGTCTTCCCACGCATTTCTTTTTCTGTTTTCCTGGCTGCTTTGTCACTGCCGTCGCTGACGCCTTCTGAAGGGCCTTCATCGCTGGGCTTCTAAGCATCTCAGGCCCAGGTGTCTCTTCCTCCCTCTCCCACCTGGTGACGTCTTTCTTTCCGTCCAGGCTTCTCAACTTCTTCCCGTTACTCATGTTCATTCAGTGAGGGGGGAAGAAACCACATCAGATCGTTTGGGCACAGAATTCAGCTTCTGTTAGCATGAGCTGAGGAAGAGCCACATTCTACCAGACTCACAGGACGTTGGCCCACTGCCTGACCCACCATGTCTTGTAGGTCCTTGAGGAGATTTCAGCCTCTTGATCGAGTGTTTTCTAATTGAGAGATTTCAATCCATCGGCTCTGGCAAGGACAGCAGGACGGTGGATGTGGTCTTGAGTGTCCCGGACGGCTCTGGGCTCAGTGTTTTCTAGATACCATCCCGTTTTAATCTTCATCACATTTGTCCTGGGCTTTGAGACACCTGGTTAACCCTGGAGCTGGGATCGGATTCTTCTCTCCATCTTTACCCTTCTGGCCTAAAACCTGGGCAGCAGCCCTTTAAGCACAGTGGGCTACCTGGCGCCCTAAATTTAAATGCTCTCTCTGAAGTCTCTTGTCCTCCCGACGTGCATCCCCAATGGGAAGGCGGGGACACAGCTTCGGGCATGATCGCAGTGGATCATTTGCAGCCCAGGAACCCCCCACCCCGAGTCCCTAATCTTTCCAGGAGAGGAAGCAGATGAATGCAGGCCACTGCCCAGGAGGCCCTCCTTTGCAGGTGCTCATTAAAACCCATCCATAAAAAGGGGAGCCTGACTGCTAATCTTGGCTCACTGTTTGTTCCCTGCAAACAGGGCTTCGATTGGGAGAACATCTGGACAGTAATTCAGAAACCCAGATAAGCCCAGGCAGGTAGAGTTTTCTGTCTCATCCAGATCTGAGAGCCTGTGGGTCCTGATTCTTCGTGATGATCACTAGCAGCTGAAAGCTGGCGAGAACAGTTTAGAGGCACTCGTGGTCTGCGTGCACTGAGTTGGGGGAGCAGAAAAGCGATCGAAGAGGGGAAATCATCATCGCTGAGGTTGATGGCCCCCTCTGTTCATCCAGTCTTTAAATAACGAGCCCCGATTAAGAGACTCGTCAGGGGTGTCCACGGAGGGGCGAGGTGTCCATTCTGTCAGCACAAAGGGTGCTGCCGTCTGCGAAATACTCTGGTGCACCGCGGCTTTGTTCCGAAGGGGGCGTAACTTGGGGCCTGTCCCGTGCAGGCCTGCTGCCTGGGGGTCCGAAGTGTGTTTCTTTCAGAGTCATGGTGTGTGGAGAGTTCTGGAAGCACCCCGGGCTAGGAGAGGTCGGCAGGGCAGGGGGTCTGTCCACACGCCTGCTTCACTAGGCTCCCAGAAGTCATCTCACGCCCTGGGCCTCTGTGGCTTGTCAACACAGTGGGACACTTGGGTGAGATGTATGAGCATTTAGCACAAAGCGAGTTTGACCTGTGATGACATTGGGCCTGGATGTTCTGGTCACTGGGGACGTTTGAAGGCTGAGCCATCAAAAAGAAAACCAAGAATCATTTTGCTTGGCAGGCACTGGGAGCTAGAGAGATGGATAGGGGACAAGCAGTGTCACCAAGAACAGCGATCACATCATGAGAACCAAGGTCCTGTGCATTCTGGGTCCCCTAAAACGCTGGGCGTAAATCCACATTATGTGGTTCTTTCTCAACTGCACCTCAGTAGAGGCTGCTGTTTCGGCGGGGGTAGGGGGTGATGGGGAGAGGATCTGTTACCGAGATTCCTGCCCCCGCCCCTCACCAACTTTGTTTTGAAAAGTCTAGTCTTACAGAAAAACTGGAAGCCTAGTTGGATGAACCTCCATAGGTTTCAGCCAGACTCACCAGACTCACCAGCCTCCTGCACTTTGCCACGTTGGCCCAACCCTCCCCTCCCCTCCTCGCCCCTGCATTCACTCCCAGAGGTATTTGGAGGATGATGTGATGTCGGCAGCTTCTAGGTGGTTCAGACAAAGAAAAACGTACTGATCTCTCACGAACAAGAGCATTCTCGAAATAACAGTGCCGCTGTCGGTC